AGGAAGATGGGGCAATCTACTTCTGTAGTGATACTGCCTCGGAAACCCAAGGAGGGGTCACTATGAGTCAGATGTGACTCGACGGTACATAACAACAACAACAACAACCTAGGAAGAAAGGTTGGGCAATCTACTTCTGTAGCGATACTGCCTTGGAAACCTAAGGAGGGGTTGCTATGAGTCGGGTCGGACTCCACAGCACATAATAACAACAACCTGTTTAGAGCCCTACACAAACTAAAGCAGTTTCTCCTCCTCCCTAAATTATTGTTCCATGTAAACCAAACCAAAACAAAATAAGGAGCTCTGGTGGCTTAGTGCCCAGGCATTTGACTGCTAACCAGAAGGTTGATGGGTTTAAACCCACCAGCCCCTCTGTGGAAAGAAGACTGGGCAATCTACTTCCCTAAAGATTTACTGCCTAGGAAACCCAATGGGGGTCGCTCTGAGTCGGAATTGGAATTGCTCATTCTATGTAGGAATCTCTATCTCAGACCAGTCCCTTCCCTGTGTGTCCCCTACAGCGCTGAGCCCTGCTGATGTGTGCCCTTGCCAAGGCAAGGAAGAGAGGAGGAACTCTTTCTCCAGAACTCAAAGACTAGCTTCAGGGGTGGGGACAGTTCCTAAATGGCTCAGGGAGGTAGGACTGGGCAGCATAGACAGACCCCTTTGTCTCTCAACTCGATTTTCATAAAATGCAAATTCTCAACAGGCTGTTCATTGTGTGTAGGGGGGGATGCGGGGAGCAGGGAGGAGGAGGGGGCTGAGCAGGAAAGGCCACCAGCCCCCTCTTCTTAACCTGGGTCTTGTTTCCTTGCTTCTGAACGTTCGACTCTCCTCGGGCCAAGGAAGAGCTCCATGGAGGGGGGACTCAGAGGGCGGGTGCAGCCCGCATCCTTCCTGCCCGGCGGGTGCCCTCAGACCCCTCCCACTGCGTCCGGTCCCGGCCAAAGTCCAAGTAGCTGTAGCCCGGGCACCCCCAAGAAGCTACAAGGCGGCAGGACCCCGAGCCCTGGAGTGGGGCATCCCCCAGGAAAGGTGTGCTTTCCCGAGTTCCCACACACTTCCACGGCGTGAGAACTCATAAGGCGTGTACAGGGGCCTCCCTCTCCCTCTTCCAGCCAGAGCGCTGAGACCCTCAACATGTCTGGGGCGAGCGGCAGGACCCCATCTCTAACCCTCCATGGTCCAAGTGGAGAAGCCGGGGCAAAGGGATCCTGAGACACTTGGACATGGGGAGGAAGGATGGCCAGAAATACAGATGGAACGAGTTGGAGACTGGGAATGTTGTTGGGGAAGAAGGAAAGGGAGCGAGACGGGGCGGTGGCGTGTGGGGACTGGAGTGGAGAGCCACCGGGATTGGGAGGGGGGTATGGAGGCGGGGGCCACAGCCGTCACGGCAGCAGGGACTGTGGGTGGGGAAGGTTGGAGCCTTCTGGGGAGAGGGCGGAGGGGAGTGAGCAGGTTCTGATGGGGGTCAGCGGGCTGGGGAAGAATGGGGCGACCCAGTGTGCTCCGCGGATGGCATGTGGTGGGGTCAGCAGGCACTGATGGGGCAGTATTAGGGGGTCTCCCAGGTATTTTGGAAGGAACGCTGAAGCACACTGAGAGCTGGGGAGCCGCGGAGGGTTAGTGGGGTGGGAGGACTCACCTTTCGGCGGGGCAGGGTGCCCCCGGACACGGCGAGCGCGCGATACAGCTCGGCCGGGTGGTAGTCCTCCAGCGCCGCGTACAGCTCCTCCCCGGGGGTGCCAGGGGCGGCGGCTGCAGCGGGGGGCCCCGAGGCCGGGGTCGGAGCCGGAGCGGCGGGAGCGACTTCCGAGTCTGGAGCCTGGGCGGCGGGGTCCGGCGCAGCCGCCGCCTCCTCTTTCTGCTGCAGCTTCCTGAGTCGGCGGAGGGTCATGGCTCCGGTGCGGGGCGCCCCTCGGCGGCGGCAGTCGCTCCGCTTGGCCACGCGGGCAGTGGTTCGCGGATGCCAGCCCGGCGGCCGCGAGTCTCCTCTCTTTATAGGCTCCAGAGCGAGCTGGGAGGGAGAGAGCGCGCGGGGAGGGGCTTACACGAGGCCACGCCCCCTCCCGAGGCCGCGCCCCTCTTGTGGCCCCACCCCTTCCCGAGGTCCTGCCCCCAGCACCGTAGGCCCGCCCGCGAAGTTTCCCCGACAGCGCTCCAAGGCCCGCCAGATCAGGGACACTCGGTGACCTGGGCGCTCAGTGGGAGAAATCGCCACGGAGGGGAAGGGACAGACAGGGAGGGGGGCAATGGGTCTCCTTGATACTTGGGGTGTGTGTGTGGGGGTGGTCTGTGGTGGGCTGTGCAGGGGGAGGGGTGTGGACAGAGGGCTGTGGGGTGAGGTCCCTGAAGAAGAAGGAAGTAGAGGCCCCTGAACTGACAGTACAGAAGCCCCCAGGACTGAGAGAGCAGATTTCTCCAGGAGAGTTGACAGGGGTTGCCTCCCCTTCCCATGTGGAGGGAAAAGGGAAGAGCTGAAAACCCAGAAAGCATGAGGCTTCATTCTGTCTGTCCCTCAATGATTCCCTCAGAGGGTCAGGAGTGGCCCTTTCTGAATAAACCTCTCCTCAGCTCCTGAAATTGGAGCTCACATTCCCATTTCCCGGCAGACAGGTCCTTACTGTGGGGTTGACATATAGGGGAAAGGTGGGCCTGAGGTGACCAGCTGTTGGGAGGATCGCTTGGCCATTCTCTGACTTTATTTTAGGGACCATCCCCAGGGTTGTGTTACTGTGGCCGCCAGGCAGCAGAAGAGGCGGGGATGGCCCAGCTGAAGTCTCTGTCGTCAGTGGTACCAGAATAAGAAGTGAGAGGAGGAAGTAGAAGGCCACACTTGGCGTCTGAAAAGCAGCCAGCCACCACAGGGTGTCAGCACCACAAGGTGGGGGCGCCACCTCCCAACATCGGCCACTGAACAGAGGTGGTGACATAAGGAGGCACTGTTCCCATCTGTCCCCTCCTCCTCCAATCTTCCCAAGTCTGTGTCATGCCTTAATAGCTAACATTTATGGGGGATTTACCATGTGCTATGCACACTGTTCTGTGTATGCTTTTATATACATGTATTAACTCATTTAGTCCTCACAACAACCCTATGAAATAGGTACTATTAACATCTCTTACAGCTTGGAAAGTGAGGTTCAGAGAGGTTAAGTAACCTGCCCTAGGCCACTCAGTAATAGAGCTGGGAGGTAAACCCAGGCAGCCTGGTTCCCAAGCCTGAGGTTTTAACTTCTATGTGATGCTGGCTGCTTCAAGTCTTCTTTCATCCAACATTTAAATCCTGCTCCATGCCACGTACTGGCGAGGCACCGGGGTTCCAGAGGCTCTTGGTGTCACAAGGAGGGGCACATGGTACATATGCTGTGTTAGTCACAAGGCATGGGGGATACAGAGAGGCAAGTGCTCGTGCCCATCTGGGGAGACCAAGACAGGCTTTCTGGGAGTCTCCTGTCTCCTGCCTCTCTCAGTTCACAGGTCTGTCACATCTCCTTGCTTTCCTGTGTCTGTCTCTTCCCTATCCCCAGGTCCGTGGGCCCCCAGCCCCCGTAGGAGGTGTGGATGACGGGGGAGGGTGCTTCTCCACCCCTCAGTGATTGTACGCGTCCAGATGGCTGGATGCTTGTTTGGGGGGGAACTACAAGGAGCTGAGAGCCAGCTCCCCTCATGCCTTCCTATCTGTCCTCCCACCTCCCACCTTGGCACCACCAAGTGGCTATCAGCTAACAGGCCGAGGGGGTGGCAGTGGGGAAACATGGGGCTGTATTGTGAAGCATTAGCACAGATGGACCCCTGGACTGTCTGTTGCCTGCTCCTGGCAGACAGCATCTGTGTTGAGGGTGGGGGTGGGGAGGCCAGGGAAGGCAATGGTTTCTATTCTGTCCATTTCAGTGCTTATTCCTGAAAGGCACTGTACAACCTTTTCTGGGGACAACTGCCATCCCACCTACTACAGGGGGTTAAGGAAGCCTCCCTGCCTGAAACCTGGAGAAGTGGATGCCCCAGGAGTCACCTAATAGCCCTGTGAGGCATTGCTCTTCAAGCGGATGTGGACACAGCAGTCTCCCCCCAGTTTATGGAGGTCAGCTTCTCTCCCTGCCTCCAAGTGAGAGCACACCATCACAGAACTGAAGTTCACACCTCAGGTTCCTTCCTTCTGTCAGGCACAAAGCCCTGGAGAACCCTAGAGGGCAGATAGGCCAGAAGCCCAGTTTCTGTCAGGACCATCGCATGATTTCCCCAAATCCTGGAGTTTCAGAGCTGGAAAGGGCCCCAGGTAGCATGTGGACCAAGCCCCTCATTAGTAGTGGAGCAAACTGAGGCCGGGGTGGGAAAGGCAGTGACAGAACGGGCACCAGAAACCAGGTCTCCTGATCAGACTGGGTATTTCCCACGTGTGCTGTTTGACTCAGCTGCACGTAGCACCCCTTTCCGCCTCCCCTCACAGAGCTCAGAGACCTGTGCCTGCTTCCTCCTCCCCTAACCGCCCCAATTTCTCTAGGGAGCTGAGGGGGAGCCCCGAATACCACATATGAGGTGGTGATGCCCTCTGGTGGCCATGAGTCTCTTGATAGAAAATCTTCAAACTAGACTTCCAAAGGAGCTTTGGTGGTGCAGTGGTTAAGGTGTTCAGCTGCCAGCCAAAAGGTTTGATGTTTGAACCCACCAGCTGCTCTGCAGGACAAAAATGAAGCACTCTGCTTCCATAAAGATTTACAGCCTTGGAAAACCTGTGGGTCAGTTCTACTCTGTCCTACATGGTCGTTACAAGTGGGAATGGACACAATGGCAGTGGGTTTTTCCAAGACTTCCAAAGACTTCACCTGGCCTGGCCCAGCTGAGTGTAAGTACCCCCCATGGCTCCTCTCTTCCTCTTGATCTGTGTTCCATTGAGACACTGAGCACCACCTTCTCATTGAGTTCTTAAATCTCACACCTGTCACAGTTTAGAAGTTTGTTTGTTTGTTATCTCAGCTGACGCTGCCCTGCTGCAGGTGAATTTGCCCAGGGAGAGGGCAGAAAGCAGTGGGCCTTCTTGGGGCAGGAACCTGCACACACCACATAGTACCTATGTGGCCTCTTCTCCAGCTCCCCACGACTTCCTCCTAAGCCGGAATCTCTCTTTTTATCCTTTTTGAAATTGTGACTTGGGTGAAAATTTACAGAGAAAATTTGTTTTCCATTCAACAGTTCATACACATTTTATGTCATAACATTGATTGCAATCTCCACAATGTAATGGCTCTCTTCCTACTTCCTCCCTGTGGTTACCTCTTCACTTTGTCCTTCTTTCCTATGCATTCCTGCCCTCTGAGCTATCACCCTGTGCAAATGCTGCCCTCTGTTCTCTCCTGGGGTTGTTTTAAGGAGTGTACCTACCTCGTGCAGTTATTCACTGTGTAGGCCTGTCTGTTGTTTGGCTGGAAGCCATGGGAGTGAGTTCAATTCCAGACCCAAAGAGTGACTGGGGCCATGTCTTGAGGGTTTCATCAGTCTCTATCAGAGTAGTAAGCCTGATTTTTTTTTTTTTATGATTTTATTTTTGTTTCACATTTTTCTCCCACTTTATCCAGGATCTCCTATTTTGATCCTTTTCCAAGTGGTTAACAGTGGTAGCCGGCACCATCTAGTTTTTCTGGTCTCAGGGTCTTGTAGGCTGAGGTTCGGCATGGTCGGACTAATTGTTCCTGTGCATCTTTGATATTCTTTCATTCTTCTTTGCTCTGGATGAGGAGAGACCAACTGTTGCATCTTAGATGGCTGCTTGCAAGCTTTAAAGACCCCAGTCACTACTCACCAAAGTAGGCTATAGAACCATGTGTTTGTGTAGAATGTTATGCCATTTGAGTTTGATGTCCCCTGCAACCATGGTCCTGAGCCTGCAGGCCCACCGACTCACTCCCTCAAGGTGTTTGGCTATAGCTAAGATGTTGTCATAACTTTGCCCCTATTAGCTCTACTATATATAGCAACATTCTTTAGCACATAAAAATACATATATAGAAATATCGTCTGCCAAACTTACATACGGCCATGGATATATTCCCTCTTGCCTACCCATACCTGATCATTTTGCCTGTGTGTCCACCCATAGATTAATGTTTGTTATAACTGATAATGCTGGACTGTGTGTGTAAAAGTGTTTACCTTTGTTGTCTGTATCTCTTGTGTGCCTCTCCGTGTCTTCCATTTCCTTAGTTATTATTGTGCTAGTCACTCTCTTTTGGTATATTGCTTTTCCCTTCACTCAAATCAACACTTGTCTCTTACTGATCTAGCAGTTTTCCCTCTCTTCCCCTCCCATCTCTGGTAACGAACAAGGAAAGTTTCCTTCCATGTTGTTCTGGTTACCTAGTACTGCTCTGACAAGAATATACCACAAATGGATGCTTAAACAAACAGGAGTTTATTCTTATAATTGGGAGGCTTTAAGTCCAAGTTCAAAGTGCCAAACTCTAGGGGCTGGGTGAAAGCCCCTTGACCTTGGGCTTCAGCTCTGCCTCCAGCTCCCAGCCCACTGAAGCTAGAGGCTTTTCTTCACTCAGACAGCTACTGGCTGCTGAGGCTGCCAAGCCCAAGGTTGACAAGTGAAAAAAGCACAGTCCCGATGT